TTTCAGCTCATCTGTGTGTTTCAGAGTCTTAAAGACTCACCCTGGGACCAGCAGATGGTGTGGTGGTGATGTCGCTGGACTCCCATGTCGTCAACTGCGTTTGAGTCCTGAACCCAGTGACTTAAAACTTATGCTGAGTGTGTGTGCATGTGTGCCCAGAATCCCCAGAGAAGGGAATGCAGCGTGGCCATCCCCCTTGGGGGGTGATCTCTCATTTTCTCTCTGTCTCTCCAGCGAGCACAGGCACCCTGTAGCAAAAATCTCTTTAAAAAAGAATGACTCTTAGTCAAGTCACTTCACAAAGAACTTATTACGGCTGGGCCCCAGCTCCTTCAGAGATACAGAAAAAGACGCGCTTATGCTCTGGTTGAGGTGATGAAAGGAGTACTCAGGACTAGATGAAGTCACTCTCAGTGCAAGCACCAAACCGCGTGGAAACGATCTGGCGCCCCTTGTCCCGAGCGCCCCGTTTCAGCCGTGCTGGGCGTTTCATCCGCATTCTCTTGAGTGCTCCGAGGTGAGTGGAGGCTTCTTGGGGGAAATGGCGTTTATTTGGCATCCTGGAAGGAGCGTGGGTAGCCTGACACGAAAAGAGAAGACAGTTCAGGTGGTAGAGCAACACGTACTCGGGCCGGAGGCGGAAACGGGAGTGCGAGCCTGCAGTCTGGGCTCCCCGTGAATCACTGGGCGGGGCCCAGTTGTCTCCAACTCGGGGATGAGGACCTGGAGATAGGTAACGTGTTCACTGTCACTGTCACACCCTGACGAGGTGCGGGAGGAGGGCGTTACACCGTGACCTAGCGTGACCTGCCTGTCTTTGGAGCACGTGCTCCTGGCTCCTGGGTGTGAGGCGGGGGCCGCCATGCCCGCAGGTGTGTGCACTGCAGGGAGCAGGTGGACGAGGCCAGCACCCTCTTAGCTGGGCACTCCTGAACAGTTGAGTCTGGGGTGAAATGTCCCATCTGTACCGTCATGGTGGGCCCGGCTTCATATCTCCTTTGTGAAAGTAGTGGGAGGGTCTAAGAAGGGATGAGGGGGTTCTCATCACGGCCCCCTTAGGTCACAGTGACCTAGCTGAAGGTTGCCATGGTAACGAGGGACTGGGCTTTCAGGGCTAAGGGTCTGCATCCGGATCTGGCTCTGGCTCTGACTCCCCACAAGTGTCCTCAGAGTCACTAAAGGAGGCTGGCTCGGGTCAGCAGCCCACCCCTCTCGTGTTTTCACATGGACGGGTGTTCCAGCCCCCTTCTGCCCAGGAAGCTTTGGTGACTGTCGGGAGCCTGAGAGTGGATGCAGATGGGGAGTTTTCACGCGTAAAAGACAGAGAGCTGCACATTCTCAGGGCCTTCCTCATCACCTGTGCTCACATCAGTCCCAGCGAGGACTCCTTTCCCCGTTTCTCCAAACATAAACCCATTTTAAATTTTGTCCGCCTAAATGAGTCCACTTACTCGAAGCTGGACACTGAGGTGTTTAGGCCGGCTGGGTTTGCACAGACCGGAGCTAGGACTGCAGGGCTGCGGAGGCGGGTTTCCAGGTAAAATAAAGGCGGGCCTCTGCTGTCGCAGTCTCCCTGCTAGCGAAAAAAACTCCCCAGGGTTTCCAAACCTGGGAGTCTGCTTTGTACTCACTGAACTTTGCAGTTTGGAGTAGTTACGTATTTAGTAATGAGGCCACCCTGTGTGGGCTTCTGTTTCAAATGAAACATTACTCATGGAAAAACTGGAATATCAGAGGACCCTTCCTAGAGGCAGAGGAAGTCCGGGTGTCAGGAAAAGTCAGAGTGTGTCTGGATCCATATCACACACGCCCAGGCCCAGGCAGGGGGGTTTCCTCAGCTGAGCTGGCCACCGCGGGGTCAGGTCTGGTCTCCATGCCCAGTTATTCCCACACTTGGGCAGTGTTCCTTTCTCCCAGCTCATTCTTTTTAGTTTGACTTGGGACATTTAAGTTCAGAAGCACATCTTTAGTCTTCACTATCAGTCTTCAGGATCGAGGTCTATTCCTGAATTCCGAGTTGACCCAGGTGACAGGTGCAAGGTAGTGTCAGTTTGTCTTGGGCAAAAGGCTACCATTACCCAGTACGTAGCCAGATTTCCCAAGTCACTCGGTAATTAAGAGACTGAGTCACTTAGCAAATCTGCCTTTGGGCCTGAGTATCTGGCATGTTCTATGAAGGCAGCATACTATTTGCGGTAGGGAAAATAAAGCTCTTCTCCCGGGGTCAGACAGTAGTACAGCGATAAAATACAGCACTCTGTGAGGCCGCCCAACACAGCAGGGTTCCTGGTTCAAGTCTGGAGACCTCTCTGAGTGTGCCAGGCATGTGTTTGCCATCGATCCAGGCTGGCCAAAGGTTAGGGTGGATCGTAACATTCAGGACCCTGTTGGTGCTGTTCCTCTCTCTGTGTCTCTTTTTCTCTCTCCCTCTCTCACTCATGGAAGAAATACATCAATACACTCATTTGTAGTCACGTGTAAATACATGAATAAATTAAAAAATAAATAATAAAGATAGCCATGTCCTAATACCTGGCACCAGTGGCTATGTAAGGTGGCATGGCAAGAGAGAATTAAGGCACAGACTAAATTAAGCTTGCTTATCAGTTACCCTTAGGTGGAGGATGGTCTGGAGTCCTGGGGGTGGCCAGTGTAGTCACAGGGGTCCCTAAAGATGGAAGATGGAGGCAGGAGGGCCAAGGCCAGGAGACACATGCCTGGAAAGACTCCGCAGGTCATTTCCGTATTCAAGGCTGGGCTGAGAGGCCTCAGGCCAAAGGATGGGAGCAGCCCCTCGAAGCTAGAAAAGGGAAGGGGCAGGTTCTCCCCAGAAGGGGACACAGCTTTGCTGACGTCTGGATGGTAGCCCCGCGAGAGCCACGTCAGACCTCTGACGTGCAGGGCGGTAGGGAATTGTGAGCAATAACCTGTTACAGCAGCCATAGCACACTGATACCCCCTCCTGTGCACTTGAAGATGGGGACAGATCTTTAGTATCTTGGTTTAAAGTCTCAGAGTCATTCTGAGGTGACAGACCATAACTTACAGTGTCTCCCACCAAACCATGGCTGATTGCACGTCCCCAAGAATGTCAGGTGACGCGTGGGTGCTCTCAGCAGTGTCACCCCACACTGGCTGGCTCACCAGCACAGCCTGCTTGTAGAACTGTGTGTTCTGCAGCTCTGAGCTCCTCTGCAAATCCCACCTGCCTGGAAGCAAACGTCTAAACAGGGTCTCCGTCCGTTTGTGCTGCTGTAACAGAATACCTAGACAAGGGGGGTTTTTAGGCTTTTGCCATTGGGGTGTGTGCACTCATTGGAGAGAGACAGACAGTGGGAGGGGAAGTGAGAAATCAGCCCCAAGGAGGGTAGCCATGCCACATCCCTTCTCCCCCATTTTCCTCTCAAGATTTTGGGCACACACACTTGCACCCAATGTGATTTTCAAGTCACCGGGTCTGGGACTCAGACTGCAGTCAACCATGTGGCAGTCCATTGCCTTAACTACCACACTATCTGCTGGCCCCTGACAAGGTTGGTTGGTTGGTTGGTTGTTTATTTATTTGCCTTAGGGCATGTGTGCTCACCAGAGACAGAGAAAGAAACAGTCAGCGAGAGGGAAAGTGAGACATCACCCCCTGGGGAGGATAGACTCCCACAGTCCCTTCTCCATTTTCCTCCTGGGATCGTGGGCATGCGCACACACGTACCCAGCATGATTTCGAAGCTACTGGTTCCAGGACTCAACCTGCAGTCGGCCGTGTGGGAGTCCAATGATATAGCCTCTACACTATCTGCTGGTCTAACAGGGTTATTTTTAATGAACAGAAATTTATTTTCTCACAGATCTGGGGGCTAGGAAGTCCAAGATCAAGCCACTGGCATCTGGAAGGGGCCTTCTTGCTGTTATCACATGGCAGAAGACGGAAGAACAGACAGACGAAAGGGGGCAGCACCTGCCCTGTCGTAGGGGCATTAATCCCACCCCTGAGGCTCCTTCTCTTTTTTCCTTTGTTGGTGACAGCACACGCATGCACAGAGGAGCAGGGGGAGGAGAAAGGGAGGAGAGGAGACAGATAAGCACCTTCCGCAGGGACCAGTCTTGCCGCGACTTTCTCCAGTCCTCCAGCCTCTGGGTCTTGGGCACACGCCCCTGTGCCTGGCGCATTTCGGGCTGACCGGGCAGGGATTCAAACTCAGGTGGCATGATCCAGCTTTGATTGAGCAGTGCATTACTGCCATGCCACTGGCCAGCTCCTAACGATCTCTAAAGTGTCCTCTTAATGCTGTTATGATGGTGAGCCACATCACCATGAATTTCTTTGATAAGTTTCTTTCTTTTTCTATGAGAGAGAAATCAGAGACAGGTACCCTCAACAGGGTCTTCATGTCTTGGTCACCCCAGCTCTCAGCCGGCTTGAATCACGGGCCACACACCAACTGGGGTGCTTGGGAGGTCCTGGGACATGAACTCAGGACCTCTCCCATGTGGGTCCAGCTATGTTACTGCTTCACCACTGCCTGGTCCCCTTTGTTACTGAGTGCCTGCCAAGGGTCGGATGCTGTGAGGTGCTCTTCATGACAGCCCTGACAGGCGGGCGTCACTGTCCTCTGAGGAGGAGGGATTGCAGCGTGGTCATGCCCCACGCTGGGTGCTCTCCCCCTCTTCCCGTCCCCTCCTTTTCTCTCTCCCTCTTTCTCTTTGGCAATTGCATGCATACTCTGGCAATGAATGTAGGTCAAAGTGGCATTAACTCGAGCCCTCTGACACTGCTGAGGTGAGAGAGGATGACTTACGTGGCTGGGGTGCGAGGAGGCCGGCTCGACTGCGGCAGGCCTCCTGGGCTGTCTCGCAGGGGGACATGTGCGGGCGTCAGAGCTGCAGGTGGTGCTCACAGGCGATGCCCCGGACCTCGGGCAGCCACCCCCGCGCCACGGTCAGTGCGGGATCTGGCCATAGCTCTCTCTGCATGCTCGGCCATTCACTCTGTGCCTCTCCAGGAAACAGGTGAGCAGATCGCCATCAAGCAATGCCGGCAGGAACTCAGCCCGCGGAACCGGGATCGGTGGTGCCTGGAGATCCAGATCATGAGAAGGTGAGGGCCCTGGGACACAGAGCCGTGATGGGCCTCAGAGTGAGGCTGGAGGGAGCCCGCAGAACCTCAGGGTCTGAAGCGGCTTCTCCAACCTACTGTGTCTAGAAAAGAGAGCGGAAGTCTAGGTCCTCAGTCTGTGATCCCGCCAGGCTGCAGACGGTGCCTCCGCTAACGACTTCTAACGTCTGCACTGGGCCTGCATGAGGGCTTCGGGTCAGTTTCACTTGTTACAGTAAATAATTAAAAATAGCGTAGTAAATCTGCCTCTGTCAGCAAAAAGTTCTTCTGCCGTGTTTCCGTCCCGAGCTGGCACGTGCCTCTCCAGTGTAGATGTTTATTCCTCCAGAGTGGAGACAGGTGTGCTAGTTCGCTAGACAGACGTGTCCTCCCAGCTCATAGGACCTTCGGGCACACGTCAGAGTCAATGGGGGACACCGGCAGGGCCTGCCCTACCAGCCTCCTAACAAGAGGTGGCATTCGTTCGTGTGCCTACACATGCATGCCCTCTGCTAGGATAGCGTGGGGGGACGCACCTGTCCTTGCTGGGCCTTGAGAGGCAATTTCGCAGTGCCGTGAGGATTGGCACGGGTACTCAGGCACACCTGTGCACTCACGGTGCCCTTGTGTCCATGGTGAGGCCAGTGGAGCTGAGGAAGGTGGCTGTGCCTTCGAGCGAGGCCCCTGGTCCCGGCCCCTCCCTCTGTCGGATTAGTCCCCAGGGTCCCGGGTCTGTAAGGCAGAGCGCTTCAAGGAGACACGGAGAGAAGAGGGGTGGCTTCGAACTGCAGCTCGCGCTCTGCCCTCACAGTCTCTCTTCTTCCTAGGCTGGCACACCCCAACGTTGTGGCCGCCCGGGACGTCCCCGAGGGGATGCAGAACTTGGCGCCCAACGACCTGCCGCTGCTGGCCATGGAGTACTGCCAAGGAGGAGACCTCCGCAAGGTGAGGCTTCGGGCAGTGGGTGCACAGCCCCTGGGCGGGGCTGGACAGCAGGAAACGAGGGCCCCTCGCCACTGTCATCATCAGGAAACCCGAGGAGCCGTGGTGACGGCATGCGTTGCGGTTCCTTCTCAAACCCCCCTTGCACCTACCTTGGGAGAGGGGTGTGAATCGAGACTGAATCAGAAGCCCTGACGGGAAAGCCGGGGAAGGGCTTTCTGTACGTTCTGCACTGAGATTACTGAAATGACAAGGAAGCAGCCGTCACCAGCTCCGGACTCGGAAGGACTGGATGGGCTCCAAAACTAACTTTGCTCCCGGGCGTGTCAGGGCCGCACAGCCTGTCAGCGTCAGGTGGCCACTGTCCTTGTCAGGAGCACTTTTCTTGCGTGTGGGGTGGGGAGTAGGGACTAGGCCCGAGTGAACGGGCCCGGTCAGGGCAGTGCTGACTCACTGCTGGGCTTTATGTCCTCCTCCTTGGTAACTTCTCCAAGGTGAATGACAGCAGCCCTCCTAGTCTCAGGGCCAGGTTCACATGGCCACTCCCAGGTGCTCTCCGACATAGCACCCCACAGCCTGCCTTTGCGCATCCCCTTGGTTGATGTTCTACGATCCTGAGACTTTGGTAAACAGATCTGACCCCCACACTGAATGGATATCATGACTCAGAGAGGTTAGGTCGATTACCAGGTGTCACACAGCTACGGGGGCAGAGCTCGGGGCACACTATGAATCCCAATGCAGCCATTTCTCCATCCGTGAGTGTTAGGGAAAGTAAGAACTCTGGGCCAAAGAGCTGCTCTGCCGGTGCAGCTCCTCTGACTCTGCCCTCCGGAAGGCCCATGGCATGGTGCGGGCCATCCCAGGCATTTGCAGGGGGCCTTTAAGAAGCTCATGGAGGCCGAGCAGCTTGTGCAGCAGTAACTCAGCGCCCTGCAGTGCTGGAAGCCGCAGGGCTGAGTCCGAGTTCAGATCCTCAGACTAGACTAAGGACAAGCCGGGGTGCATGGGCGCCCAGGATCTGAGAGGCTGGAGGGCCAGCTGGGAAGGGGATTGCACTGTGATGGGCCCTGCCTGGCATGCTTCTCCCTCTTTGTCTCTCGTGGGTGTGCACACACACTATCATTAAAAATAATAATAATGAGATTCATGGAACATGAATATTAGGAAAAAAACAGACACGGATTTAAAAAAAATCTTTTTGTACCAAAATAAATTCATACTTTCATTCCATGTTTCTATGAACTTTTAGAGCTCGTTACCTGGCAGTTTCCCAGACTCACGTCATGTATTATCCTCATTAGTCTTCGGGGCCTTTCCACCTTATTTTTTAAAAGGAAACTTTCCATGAGGGTTGATGTGCCCGGGTGACTCTCGCGCCATGGGAGACGGGCACGTCCTGGGAGTGGCTCAGCGTCACACAGGATATGAACGCACTCGTTGGCACGGCCACGATGAGAAATGGGGAACTGGATGGCGCCCTGATTTTTCCCCTTTATTTTCCTAACCTTTGACAATCATCCGATTACTTACTGCGCTTGCGTGGAGATACAGCCACGCCGTTGTAGTGGAGTGGAAAGTTCTTGGAGGGCGGCGTGGGAAGAGGCAGGAGGTAGCCCGGCTGTGGAGGGCTCTCTAATCAGGGCAGCGGATTTTAGATTTGGTCTTGTAGGTGGCGGAGGGCCAACGAGTGAGCCAGGGAAGAAGATGAAAATGTCAACACGACTGACCAGGCGTGGCTGCTGAATAACCCAGGGGAGGCAGGAAGTGATTGCATCCCACAGGCCTCTGTGCGCCGCCCCCCAGTGGGTACCCGGGTGACCCAGCTGCCCAAGCCTGTGACCTGTCCTTCCCTTTGTTCTCCCAGTGAGGCTCCCTGTCTTTCTGAGCCTAGTGTGTTCAGATTTGCCTCCACTGCACGGACACGCTTGGCCAGCACATGAGGAAATGTAAAGCCAGGCTTGACTTAAGAAGT